TATTCACCTTTTTTTTATTTACTTTTAATGTTCTTTTTATTTTCAAATGACACAATAATTATACATATTTATGGAGGACAGTGTGATATTTCAATACACGTATATAGTATGACTACTGTGTAATGATCAGATCTAGGAAACTGGCATATCCATCACGGTAAATATTTATCATTTCTTGTGTTGGGAACATTCAAAGTCATCTCTACTAGCTACACAATCGTTATTTACCACTGTTATCCTAATGTACAGTAGAACATTAGAAGTCATTCCTTCAATTCAACTGCACTCCTTGTACCCCTTAACCATCCTCTCCAATTTCCTTTCCCCCACAGTCATTGCAGGTTTCTCTTAATCGTTTAAATCAAACTCAAATATTATCATGTCTCTGAATTTTACTAAATATACCTCTATTTACTAATGATGGGTTAATTGCTTTCTTATCTTTATTCCCACAGCATTTTATAAATACCTATAAGATTTGTCACATTAAATTATAGTTATTTGTTTACATAATTACCTTCCCATTTAAAGTCTGAACTTATTGAAGAAACATGTATTTCCAACAGTAAAGTAACTCATATGAAACAATAAATGTTTGCTAAAGTGAGCTGAGTTCAGAAAATAAAGTAAATCCATGAAGCTAGGTCCCAAAAAGCAGTACTTCAAATAATAGTGGAACCAGTCTTTAACCAACATCAGGATTTATAGTTGATTTCTTTGCATAGTCTACTAATCATACACACATTCATATTCATTCATTCTTTCCTTCCTTCTCTGTTCCTCTCCCTTCACCCCCATATCTATCTCTATACCTTTCTCTTTCTCTCCCCAAATAACTTAAAATGCATATTAACAATATTGTAAGTATAAAGTCATTCTCTAATTTAATGACAAACAGCAAAAGTCTAGCCATTAATTGGAGTTTGCCTTCTTTCTTATGTAAACAATAACTTTCCTCTACATTGCTGAGTTTCCATTTTTTTAAAAAGTGAACTGAGAACAAGAGAAGCTAAATCCCATAGTTTTGTGATTTTTTCCCAACTTTATATACACTTATTTAATTAACATAACTGCAAAAAATAAATGCAATTGGCACAAGGAAGTTTGGTTAACAATACAAATAACTCTTGATGTGTAACTAAACAGGTGAGAGAAATACAGAGATATACTTGAGGACAACTTCTAATGGGCAGCATTTACCATGTATTCATTATGCTCAGGGTATCGGTCAGTACATTTTATGGAAGATCAGAGGAATGTCAGTTAATGAGATAATTAAGCAGAAGTTGGTTAAAAGAATTTCCAAATACTTTAAAATGAAGACAGTCCCTCATGAACTGTACATAATAGCATAATCATTTTCTAATTAAATGTTCTAAGCCATAGTTCCCCCTTCTGGTAAAGAAAGTATTACATACTGCATATCACAAACATTCTGACTTGCTCTTGCCTATTGATCCTAGTTCCCACTTCTAAACATGAACTCCTTTCACCCAAAGGCCCCAGGTTATCCATGCCTCCAAACTAATTCATCTCATAGCAAAAATGTATTTTTTTAAATCACGGCTCAAGAACCTATCCCTTATCTGTTCCTTCTATGTCCATCAGTTTATGACTGGAAGGTTAGAATTGTAAATATGCATTCAACTTGCCCTGCAACATCTATAATCTCATTTCCCCTTGTTACCTAACAGATTTTTGACGAATTATATTGCCTGTAGAATATATATGTAAACTGGGTTTCATCCTGATTGCTATCCAACTGCTTGTCCTATACTTATTATCTATATATAACCAGATTTATACATACTTGCCCAGTTCTTCCAATTTCTGTTAGGCATATCTTCTCAGTCCATATCCTAACTTTGCTTTGTCACGCCCAAATCCACCATCTTCTCAACTAAAATTCATAGTAACTCACACTTGCTAAGATTATATGCAAATGAGTATAATTAGAATGAAAAAGCAGTGACTCTACAGCACTAAAAGATACCTAAATCATATTCTATATATGCTTCTGTTCTGGCATAACAAATGAAATTAGACATTTTAGAAAAGTTTTGATAATGAGTGAAACAAAAAGACTTTCTGTATTTTCTCAGAAAGGATACTTTAAAGAATTAGAATATTCATTCTTTAGAAATTTATATTTTCTAAAAATTTACAATACATAAACCTTCTGAAGAATAACCAATTTTTAGTCTGGGGATGCAGCTCAGTGGTATAGCACTTGGGTTTAATATGCAGTACCACATAAAACAAAAAAAGAAAGAAAAGAATAACCAATTTTAGTATCATATTTTTAATAATAAAGATTGTAATTATATTTGACTATCAAGTTTTAGTGAATAATAAAAAAAGCAACTGACTCTCATAATCTCATTCTAATTTTCATAGACTACAACCTTTGTGTTATTTCCTAACCTACACTTTAAAATAATTATGAATACTTTTTTTAAAAAACATTAATTTTTGAATCAATATAACTTCTAGACTTTTTTTTTATTAGTTGCTCAAGACAATACAATGATCTTGACATATCTTTCATTTGATTCAAATAGGGTATGAATTCTCATTTTTCCACGTATACAGATTCTAGACTTTTTAACACCTCTAAAATTTCATTTAAGAAAACAGAAACAATCTTAGAGTAGTTTTGATTTGCATTTCTCTAACTGCTAGCAATGATTTTTTCATATATTTGTTGATTGATTGTATATCCTCTTCTGAGAAGTGTCTGTTCAGATCCTTGGCCCGTTTATTCAGTGGGTTATTTGTTTTTTTGGTGCTTAGTTTTTTGAGTTATTTATATACCTTAGAGATTAGTGTTCTATCTGACGTGTGAGGGGTAAAGCTTTGCTCCAAAATATAGGCTCTCTATTCACCTCACAGATTGTTTCTTTTGCTGGGAAGAAACTTTTTAGTTTGAGTCCATCCCATTTATTGATTCTTGCTTTCAATTCGTGTGCCAAAGGAGTCTTATTAAGGAAGTTGGGGCCTAATCCCACATGATGAAGATTAGGGCCTACTTTTTCTTCTATTAGATGCAGGGTCTCTGGTTTTATTCCTAGATCCTTGATCCATTTTGAGTTGAGTTTTGTGCATGTCCAGTCAGAATGGCAGCTATTATGAAGACAAACAACAATAAGTGTTGGCAAGCATGTGGGGGAAAAGGTACACTCATATACTGCTGGTGGAACTGCAAATTGGTGCAGCCAATATGGAAAGCAGTATGGAGATTTCTTGGAAAATTAAGAATGGAACCACCATTTGACTCAGCTATCCCTCTCCTGGGTCTATACCCAAAGGACTTAAAAACAGCATACTACAGGGACACAGCCACATCAATGTTTATAGCAACACAATTCACAATAGCTAAACTGTGGAACCAACCTAGATGCCCTTCAGTAGATGAATGGATTAAAAAAATGTGGCATATATACACGATGGAATATTACTCAGCAATAAAAGAGAATAAAATCATGGCATTTGCAGGTAAATGGATGGAGTTAGAGAAGATAATGCTAAGTGAAGTTAGTCAATCCCAAATAACCAAATGCTGAATGTTTTCTCTGATATAAGGAGGCTGATTCATAGTGGGGTAGGGGTAGAGAGGGGGAGCATGGGAGGAAGAGACGAACTCTAAATACAGCAGAGGGGTTGGAGGGGAAGGGAGAGGGTTGGAATGTGATGGACATTATTATCCAAAGTACATGTATGAAGACACGAATTGATGTGAATATACTTTGTATACAACCAGAGATATAAAAAATTGTGCTCTATATGTGTAATAAGAATTGTAATGCATTCCATTGCCATATATAAATTTTTTAAAAAATTATAAAGACTGTAAAAAAAGAAAACAGAAACAAGAGTTTTGTTTTTGTTTTGTTTTGCAAAAGTATCCTTTTGACTAATCTTTTCAGCAAGAAAAGACACTAAGATTACTCAAACCTCTGATTCCAGAACACTGTATATCAGAAAGCTACTTCAACAGTCCACAGCTTTGAAGTATTTTCAAACTACTGTGTCAACAGAAGCATAAATAATGATAAGCAACATATGACTTTAGTTATCATGGATAATTACTAAAAATCCTACCAAAAAAATCATAACATTATTTCCTTTTGCTTACACTATTATTAACATACAAAGAATACATATAGACATTGTCTTCCTTCCCAGCTAGAATATTACTATCTCTACTAATAATTTTTTAAGATAAATTACTAAAGAATATCCTTTATTTAAGTATGCCTTCAATTTGACAAATATAATTTAAGTGGACAAGAGATTCAATTAGGTAAAATTAGTTATCACAAAACCTGTTAAAAGACTTTTAGGTAAATGACAAAATCATAGAATTTACAGGGAAATGGATGGCATTAGAGCAGATTATGCTAAGTGAAGCTAGCCAATCCCTAAAAAACAAATGCCAAATGTCTTCTTTGATATAAGGAGAGTAACTAAGAACAGAGTAGGGTCGAAGAGCATGAGAAGAAGATTAACATTAAACAGGGATGAGAGGTGGGAGGGAAAGGGAGAGAGAAGGGAAAATGCATGGAAATGGAAGGAGACCCTCAGAGTTATACAAAAGTACATACAAGAGGAAGTGAGGGGAAGGGGAAAAATAATACAAGGGGGACAAACGAATGTCAGTAGAGGGGGCAGAGAGAGAAGAGGGGAGGGGAGGGGAGGGGAGGGGGGATAGTAGAGGATAGGAAAGGCAGCAGAATACAACAGACACTAGTATGGCAATATGTAAATCAATGGATGTGTAACTGATGTGATTCTGCAATCTGTATATGGGGTAAAAAGGGGAGCTCATAACCCACTTGAATCAAATTGTGAAATATGATATATCAAGTACTATGTAATGTTTTGAACAGCCAACAATAAAAAATTAAAAATAAAAAAAAAAAAAGACTTTTAGGTAAGACATTCTCCTAAGCATCTAAATGATAAAAGCACAAGGTCTCAGGTCTCAAATTAAAACATACCAATTTCCTCCACTTCTTCTAGGAAATCATTATATTCTCTTAGACTAGGAAAATCTTCTTCTCTTTTATTGTATCTTAAAGACAAGAAAACATCAACATGTTACATATATTTGCATTCAATATTTTAGAACTAGTTTGCTTGTTCTTAACCTCATTCATATATGACATATAGAAAATGACTGTGTACTGTGTAAAACACTGTTTTCTGGACACTAGGTTTTTAACTAGACCAAGAATGCTATTCTCCTTCCTGCACTCTTGCTGGAAATCAAACCCAGAGTCTCACATATGATAGGCAAGTACTCACCCTCTGAGCCATACACTCAGCTCAAGAAATTTGTTCTTAAAATTCTTATGACTATAGAGAAGAAGCAAAATCAGGAGAGAGAGGTATAATATGTAAAATCCTCATAAGACTTCAGGGAAAGAAAAATTAATAGTTAATAGGTTTGGGAAATGAACTTAAACAAGGTGTATCACTGGAAATTATGAAATAATTTACTTGTTACAAATAGATTCACTAGTTTCCAGAAAATGAAAACTTAATTCAGGGACTCCTATTTTTTTCTTGACAGTTAAGAATGCTATATCAGCCAAACACAGTGACCACTTGTAATCCCAGCTCAGATTAGAAGCTGGAGGCCAGCCACAGCAACTCAGCCAGGCCCTAAGCAACTTAGTGAGATACTGTCTCAAAATTAAAATAAAAGGGGCTATGGATGTAGCTCGGTGTCCTTGGGTTCCATCCCAATACAAAACAAAATGCTAAATCAGAAAAGCCTACAACTATTTTAACATATATAAAGAATTATAAAACTATAAGGAATTAACAATAAAAGATCAGAATCTAAGAGACTACCTCCTAGAAGCAATGTAAGTAATAAAGCAACAGCTAGGGAAACTTGGTTAGAGGCCTACATAGATGTGACTTAAATACTGGTGACCTGGGTTGAAAAGTATACCACCAAAATAAGAATTTAAACACTGGGCTGAGCTAAGTGATGTACACGCCTAGCATGCCCAAGGCTCTAACACACATTTAAAAAAACAAAACAAAAAAAAACTTTAAAACAATTATTTTAACTTCAAAATCAATCAAGTCCCCTTTATAAAAAGGCAGATAAAATAAAATTCAAATACCATAAAATACAAATATTATAACCAATATTATAGAACAAACACACATATATAACAAAATAAATCATAGCTAACATAGGTGTTTCTCTAATAGATTTCAAACCCCAATTTAAATGTTACCGCCTCAGTTCTTACTTATCACTGATAGCTATCAGTACTCAATCACTACTTTATAGTATTTTTCTCAATTTATAATTACATAATTATTCTGCCTATTTTATTTTCTATCTCTTGGTTATACTATGCAACTACATGGTAAACCTCATGAGGACATGGTTCATGGCTAGATATTCATCATTTTGTACCTATTGCCTAACACACAAAACACACTGCATACAGTAGGTATTCTACAGTTATTAATTAAGGAATAAATGGCAAATGGATAAACTGTGAAGCTTTCAGTCAAGAGGCTCTTTAACAAAGGTTAGAATAATAACATTACTCAGTTCTCTAAAAATATAATAAATTTTTGTAAAGCAAGTACATAGATGAATTTATAGTTATTCATTTGCCAATCTTTAACAACTGCTAAAGTCTTCTTTGTTGGCTTAATCATTTTAACAATAATACTTACATCTTTAGCACTTTTTTTCTGATCTCAACTTCCTTGTCAACAGTGGGATCTTCAAAGAGCTGTACCCTGAAGTTGCTCTTCCGAAGTGGAGTGCCACACTCAGGACAGTTTCCAGCTCCTCTCACAAACAGTAAATCCACACAGCTTTCACACCTGTAAGGAAAGAAATAAAATGACATTTAAGACAATGTTCAAATCGGCAACAAGTTTGAATCGTTTGCCTTTTAGAGGAATTAGGGAAACATGAAAACTCTTCATTGCTACTTAATGTTATCAAAAAAAAAAAAAAAAAAAAAACTTTTGGAAAATGACCATTTTCATTTGGAGCTTACTTTTCAGATACAGATATCCCAAGAGATACCAGTTGAGTTTTACAAATTAAAGAAATTTATAAATTAAAATAAGTTGAATAAAACGCTAAGAAGATTCAGAACAGCAATGTCAAGGAGAAGTCAATGAGCAAAGTAAAAGACTTTATGGTCATTTCTATCCCCAATTCAATAAAGGTTGAGCATCCCAATTCAAATATCTGAAATCTGAAACACGCAAAATCCATAACTTTTTGAGCACCAACATGATGCAAGAAGTGCAAAATTTCATATTGTAAAATTTTGTTTCATGCACAAAATTATTAAAAATCATGAATGATATTGCCTTCAGGCTATGTGTGTAAGATATATATGAAGTACCGATTTTGTGTTTAGACTTGTTTCTCATCCTTAAAGTGACTTGTGATATATATGCAAATATTCCAGAATAAAAAAAAAAAAAACATTCAAAATCCAAAACACTTTTGATTGGTTCCAAGCATGTCAGATAAGGGATACTCAACCTTATTCACTCTAGACCTGGGCAAGAGAAGCCTCTACCAGGAGATGCTCCATATACAACAAGCACTTATTTTTCCCATTTGCAGCCCTGTAATGAAATTTTATAAAAGTTCTGTTTACAAGAGAGAGGTGCAAACTCAATGAGGCCCCACAGGCCAGAGACAAAAGAACTTAGAGTCCCCTAGTATGTGTAGAAAGGAGAAAATCATCAGAGCTTCTGCCATGAGAAATCCTAGAAAGAGCATGTGTTTATAAAACTTTACTCAAAGTTGGACACCCTAAATCAACCAAAATTAATGCCTAGACAAATGATATTTCCAAGATACCGGCATCCCCTCTACCTTTTCTTCTTTATTCTTCTTGGGAAATACAGTTTTTGAGCTGGAAAAGTCAGGAACTAGAAGTGAACCACTCTATAACCAAATTTCTGAAGAACTGGTAGGATCAGTCCAAATATTATTTTAGATGGGTCCAGGCATCACTGGATTACCCCTGCCCTAATCCAACAGATCCATGCTACCACTTAGGAGAGAAGGTTGGACACCAAGAGACAGCAGCTACTTTAGCCTTGAGTCTTGAGGGTATAGGCTAGCAGGAACTTGGGCTGGGTCAAGATGTAGCTTAAATTATAACTTTTAAGTATTCATATATCTTGATAAGTATTCAAACACTGCATCCTCCAACTATAATCTTACCCAGTTACATGTGTGTTAGGACTCTTTTTATTTTTCATAAATAAAAATATATATATGATACACACACATACATACACACACACATATTTAGTTGTATATGGACACAATACCTTTATTTTGTTTATTTTTATGTGGTGCTGAGGATCAAACCCAGTGCCTCACATGTGCAAGGCAAGTGCTCTACTGCTGAGCCCCAACCCCTGCCCTTTTTTTAAAAGCAATATTTGAAATTATTTGTGTTTTCTGTCTCCCCCACTAGGATATATTTCATGAAGGTATAACTTTTATCCTTAGTGCCTCATAGTAAATATTAAATAAACTTTACTGAATAAAGAAATGAATATGTGACAGAGGAATAAAAAAGGTTCTAATTAATAAGGGAAAAGGTGATTTCTTCTAAGTATGTATTTAACTTAACGCATAAGAGAAATAAGTGAAAAGGGAAAGTAAGAATTTTTAAGGATATTAGCAAACTACCAACATTAACCTCAGCATATCTATATCTTAATAGTGTCATCTAAAAATAGGAGAAAATAATTTCAGAGATCATAGCTTTCATTACCAAGATAAAAACAAAATCAGAAACAGAAAAGCCACCCTAAATTTAGAACACATAGGAGTCAACACTTCATTATTCCCTGTAGTTTGAAGAAATTAAACCCAAATTCAGAAGTTGAAAACAGGCATGTTTTATAACTATATTAATTAAAGATCTTTATAAGCAGGGAGCCATATGAAATATTCAAAAGTAACTGAACCACAAAAAAAGTTTCATACTTCAAGGTTTGGGAGTCTAGATGTAGTTAACAGTTCATTTATTTAGAATATATGTAGAATAATTTAATACTTCTAAAAGTAATATTGTATATTAAACATAATATATTACTTGCTTCCAAAATTAGGTATACACTTCCACTTTTTAAAAATCTGTCATAAACCAAGCATAGTGATACTCCCAGCTGTTTCTGAAGCTGATGCGGGAGAATGGCCAAGTTTGAGGCCAGCCTGGGCAACTTAACAAGACCCTCAAACTAAAAAATAAAATGGGCTGGGGGTGTAAGAGCTCAGTGGTAGAGTACTTGTCTAGCATGTGTAAAGCTGTGAGTTTATTCCCTACCTCAATAAAAATAAAAATAAAAATCTATTTTGCCTGGCTTTGTGGTGCAGGCTGTAATCCCAGCAGCTCAGGAGGCTGAGGCAGGATGATGGTGTGAGTTCAAAAACAGTCTCAGAAATTTAACAAGGTCTGAAGCAACTTATGAGACCTGGTCTCAGAATAAAATATTAAAAGGGCTGGGGATATGGTTCAGTGGTTAAGTGACTCTGGGTTCAATCCCTAGTACCTAAAGAAAAAAATAAGAATCTGCCTTAAGTCAATGTAATGTAAACAAAATTGTGGGTTGGATGGTTCAGTTGTTAAAAGTGTGTCTTATCAATGGATTCAATTCCCATCACTCCAAAAAGAAAAAAAAAAATCAGAAAGGGAAATATGTTGTATAGGAAAATAAACTAAAAAATCTTTAGGAACTAAAGGTGTACCTCAACGGTAGAGTGGGTGCTTAGCAGATGGGTTCAAATTCAGGGCCTCCGGCAAATTGAGTACAAGTTCTATCACTGAGCCCTAGTTCCTTCCTTTCTGATTTTAACTGGATATTTTCTGATTTTAACTGAATATTTAAAAGGTTATTTTTAAAGTTCAAACAATATAAAATTATACTGAGAAAAAAAGTTCTAATTTATTTTGTTCTATATCTCACTTCTAACAGAAAACAAACTACTGCTAATTTTAGTGTTTATGTTGCCACATTTTTTTCTACATATTTATAAGTTATACACATGAAAACTAGTCATATGAAAAAAGTAAGAAGTTGATAGTTGCTAGTTCATTTTATCTGAAATAATTTTCCTTCCTCCCAGAGTACTAGGAATTTGTCAAACTAAATCTTGTGTTTTACAGAACACATAAACATTTGCAAAAAAAAAAAAGTATAAATCATCAGTCATTATCCATTCCAAGAACATTTTTATGGGTTTATTTGTTTTTAAAAGCCAGAATGATTATCTTCCCTTTTTCTGACTTATTATATCAAAATATTTAATTGCTTATATTCCCTTAAGACATTTAATCATTTTGTTTGCCATAATTTGGAAAAACAACTACATTCTTTGCAGAATTTAAACAGTTATTAAGATAGATGGACTTAGAAAAAGACAAATAATTTGTTACAAATACTATACTTAAGGCTTTCAGTGAAGTAACATATACAAAACTAATATACTTGGCTTTGTGGGGAATGTAAAGTGAATAACACTAACTTCATGCATAAAGGCCTCATATATTGTAGTGGAAATAGAAAAGAAAATGACCCTATAATCTCTTAGGCAACAGGCAACGGCTCAACAAAATTATATCTACTGTACTCTCCTGGCCAGTGAATGTTAATACATCATACTCAAATGCTCTAAGCCAAGGAAAGTTTTTTAACTATGTAGACTCTACTGTTTCATACCCACACTTTCTGCCACAGAGGAATAGCTAAAAAGGGCATGTGGGGTCACAATGCTGGATGCTAAGTTGCACATTTGATAAAGGCTCAATGCCCCATCAAGGAAGGAAAGTAAAAATTCAAGAAACTACAAGAAACAAAGAAAACTAACAATTGTATGAATGGTAAAGGAACATTCTATGGCTACCAGGGGCATTCTGGACTTTGGAGACTTGACAGAGAACAACCTGCTACTAAATCAAACAGGAATGCATCTCTATAGGGACTATTACTATGATTCTACCTCAGAAAAAGAAAAGCAAATTGAATTAATACTGATTTCCAGAAAAATAAGGCATGTCTTTGGGTCAAAGGAATTAAATATATATTTGCATAAGTAGGTCAAAGAACAATGTCTACAATGATCTGAAAAGGCTATTAAAATGTTTCTCCATTTTCCAACTACATACTATACATTTCAACCAAAACAACATGTAACAACAGAATCACCACAATGCAGTTATGAGAATCCAGCTGTCTTCTCTTAAGCCAAATATTAAAAGATATTTGCAAAAATGTAAAACATGCTACTCATCTCATAATTTTTTTGTTTTGAAAATAGTCTCACAAAAATATTTTAAATTTTCATTATAGCTATTATTCTAGTCCTTCCCATTTCTTAATTCACTTTTCTATTTCTCTTGATTAGAGATGTTAACATGTGACAATTTTATAATTTTTAATAAGTATCTTCAAATTTTCTCAATTTCAACTTCCAATATCACAAAGATTAACAGATTAAAAAAAAATCAAAGTTCTCTAAAAGCTCCTAGGGAGCCTCAATTTTTTTAAGATTATAAACACACTAAAGGGGCTATTGATGTACATTGTTTGCGTACCATGTATAAGGCTCTGGGTTCAAACTCCAACATCACAAAAAAAAGTAAAAAGTTAAAAAAAAAAAAAAACTTGAGACCAAAATATTGGAGAACCACCACATTTTGGGATTACATTAAAGAATGCAATCATAATTTAAGAGATCTCCAAAGTATCCAAACCATCAAGATTCTCTTATTTATTAGTATGAAATAACATTTTAAATTTTTTGCACAATATTATTCTACTTCTCTTTGTATGCTTTA